GGTAGCAAAAGGCAAAAGCGAAATTCCGGCAAGACCACCACCACCATAGCCGACGAGCGAAGCCGAGCAAATCCGCGTGCGCCGGAGTTTTGCAGCAACATCTCGCCTGAGTCTTTACAATAAGTGCACGACAGTCGGGTGACGTTCATGAATCGAAAATGAAAATAGCCGCCAAATAGCCTCGTTACAATCAACGTAGCGTCGTTGAAATTTCGTCACCTCGCCATTTGCATTCGGATCAGTAATGCCAAACACCACCATATCGCTCCCTTTATTCACATATTTACAAACGTATTTGATGGATTTGATAGAGTTGCAGTACTCAACATTGCAATGCGTTGAGAACGTTTTCGACAAAAGCGGGAAATATGGAACGGTCCAGCGGTTATCCACGATTACTGTTACGTTTGTTTCGTTACGTTTCACCATTAATTCGATCCATTTGCCTTTATCATCTGGAGAACGACGCCTATACAATAGATATCCATCTATTCCACTGTTTCAGCCGTGACCGGACTGGGAAATCGTTTTGTGCAGTTTCCGTTTTCCATGCTGATTCTGATACTGATTCTGGGTTGTGGACTCCGCAAGGGCCATGGATAATGCTCGTTGTCATAATGGAATGCAGCTCGGGATCAGTTTGTTTATCTGGTATTTCGGCTGAAATAATCGAATCAATATGATCTGGTCGGATCTTGTCAAACATCCAGAGCAGAATGTGCGCATGTGGTAAGCCACGCTTCTGCCACTCAACCGAGTACATCCAACAACGAACTGCACCAAAAACCTTCCGCTTAACAATGTAATCCATAAGTACTGTGATCTTTTGCTTGAATACTTGTGCAGTGATGTCAGGTCGATCGCTGCATGTTTGTCCTGGAAGCAACAAATTAGTAATTTCGGGCCATTTCGGATTGCATGTGAACGTGATGAATAAATCCGGCCGCCCGTAATTCCGGACATACGTCATCGCATCTTGAGCGTACTCATGCATATGGCGCGGGCTTCCAACATACGTAGCTGGGAGAATGGTCAAACAACCGATATTGGCCGCGTGTCCTTCAGTAGCGATGGCGTCACTCAAGTGGATGTACTCGTCTGAGCGCAACTTCGACTCATTAAAACGAATGAAATTGAGACGTTCCGTTTTTACTTTGACGTACATGTCGACACAGTACTGTTGAAACAATCTGCGGTATCTTAACAGATGATTGTCAACATCTAGTCGAATCATCAATCGATACGCATAAAAATTCATAGAGTTGACCTTCTTATTCGTTTCTTCTCCTAGAAAATGAATTCAAACTTAGCTGTAGAATCAAAAAGACGTGATGACTTGTAAACAAACCTGAAGTTGGATTGACCATCTTTATGTTGAAGTGATACCCATCTTCTCCACGACAGAACATCAACGGGTATTGAAGAGCTTCATATGACTGATGAGTCTCATAAGCTCGCTGCAATTGGCCATTATCCCGACGCTTAACAACAATATCGCGTGATTCCACATTCTCGCCAACAATCTACACCGCGACTTCATTGATAGTGGGAGTGTTAAATTGTCTTGCATGGCTACCAGTGGGTTTTTTTGTCAGCGCTGCGGTTTTGAACAATCTGACCAATTCATTGTGCTCATGGAAAAGATTTTGCCATTGTTCAATAATTTCACTTTTTTTTTTTTTTTTTTTTAAGTTCAACTGCCGAATCACCAATGAAATAGATCTGAAGGAATTTATGATCTTTGTTTTGCTTGGTGGTGAAATTGCCCTTGAATCTGAATGTTGGGATGCAATTTCGAAAAAATGGGAGTTGTTTATTTTGATAATAAAGAGACGCCATTACCTTATTACTTGGATTGTAGCCTGGTTGATGAACAACCTCGGCTCCAAATCACGTAATTTGAAATCATCTGTTATATTTTTGTGCAAGCTTTAAGAAACTGTTTGATTGGTCTGAATTTCCTTATAGTAGCGAATACAATGGCTCTGGTAAATGAGCCAAAACGGGCAATTTAATTTTGCCACCTGCACAGCATAAGCCGGGAGTTTTCAATAAAAACTTCAGTGCATTAAAACGCTGACATACGACAGACAATGAACCAATAACAACGCAGCTATGATCTTTGTAGGGTGTTTCAGAATTGTATGCGAATGCAGCGCGATTCAAGTTTTCATTTGCGGTTCGTCTTCCTCTATTATTTTATCGGGCTTGAGTTGGTCTTTGTGCAGCGTGAAGCTGTACCTTTTGGGCACATGTCGATTTCTGAACGTTCCTCTTGCGTCCGACTATTACTGAAATTCTGACAGCTTATTGCATTGCGTGAACGCCGTCCAAGTCTTAATTGTCTAACATCAGACATTATTTCCAATTGTTTAAGCTTACTTTGGTAATGCTTCGTTAACTCGTTTTTTTTTGTTTAAATATTTTTTTTACCGATTTCATCGATATCAATATCAATATCAATTGCAGGGTGTTTCAGAATTGTACATACAACAGTGTGTACATCTGTTGAGCCGCTAGCGACTTTTCCAGAAGGGTTTCCCAAAATTTTCTTATGTGATAACCTTCTTCTGGCATTTACAAACACGAAACGAAAATTTGAGCCAAATCATTTGAGCCTTTATGATTGCTGGATATGGTACAAAGTAGCTTTCGAGAATCGCAGTTTGTGTCACCAATGCACAGTGGTTCGGCTTGTATGGAGCTGCGGCCATAATTACTTCTAGATGTGCTATCGCTATGAAACTTTCACAAAAAATCTAAAAAAATGGTTTAAGTATATCCACAAAAAATTGGCCATATTGCTCATCTATATCATATAGCTGCCATAGGAACAATCTGTTAAAAATCAACATTTAGTATGAAAAACTTTTTTGTTTTTCAAAATATCTTAACCAATTTTACAGATTATATGTTTGGTACAGGTTTATATATTCCTACCAACTTTGGTTAAAATCAGATCTCTATATCTTATAGCTCCCATACAAAATTTTTATTAAATTATTTTTTTTTCCAAGACCTAACTTTAATTTTTTAATTTTTGATCTCTTAATGAGAACGTTGGTAAAATATAAGTGCCCAAAAGTAAAAAAAAAGATATTCACTTATATATTGTGTATTTAATTTGTCCAACAACAAACGTACACAGCTTAACGGGGGGTAAGGTTAATTCGGTACAAAACTGCCTACTTTTAAAAAAAAATGTTGTGACGAAACGGCTAAAATTAGCGTATTGAATTAAATACACCTGGCCCTCGCTTAACACGGGGGTTACGTTCCTAGAAAACCTCGTGTTAAGCGAAATCGTGTTAAGCGAAACATGGATTCAGTACAAAATAAGGGGTTACGTTCTAAAAATTCAAAATTGGCAACAAAAAAAATTTTTTATTGTTCAAATTTGGTATGTTTTTATTAAAGTTTCATACATTTGTTCAAAATTAACCAAAAGTTATTATGTATGTATATGCCTTTAATAAAAGCATACTATTCATATTTTTAAACTTAAAAGTTGGTATTTTATTAAAAAAAGTAGCTTCTTATAATTAATTAATAGGTTAAATTTTATAGAAACTAAAAAATGTTAAAAAGTAAGGATATCATATGTTTTATTCATATCATAATTCATAATTTGAATTCATAGTTCATAATTTTAAATTCATAATTCATCATTTTAATTCATAATTCATAATTTTAATTCTTAAATTATAATTTTAATTCATAATTCATAATTTTAATTCATAATTTCAATTCATAATTTTAATTCATAGTTGATAACTAAAAATTCATAATTCATAATATGAAATGCATTTGGTGGCATTTATAGTTAAAGCCAGTTTGTTTTAACATGGTTTCTTTTTTGGTGGCTCCTTGTAAAAATCAGTAATTTTTGATTGTTTCGATATTTTGCAATCGTTTAAGAACAAGGTTTTTAGCGTGTTAAAAGGGGGATGGGAGCAAATTTGAAGCCGTGTAAGACCGAGTTCGTGTTAAGCGAGGGCCAAGTGTACCAAATAATAACACAACATATAAACAATTTTTTTTTTTTTAATTTTTGTTTTAAAAAATATTTACATGCTTACGAGTAATAGCGAATCTCCTAAGTCCCCACAAAAAAAGTTTGTTTTCGGTGTACATCCTATCGTAACTGTCCACAAAAACATCCGATATTAAAAAAAGTTATTGCATTCACTAAAGGGTACATTCCCCGAGGTACTCAGGTGACGTTTTTATTTTTAACATTTTTTCCCGATTTTTTATCACAACCCGGATTATTGGCGCTGGCAAAATTTGACCTTGAAAAAATAAGAAGTCGTGTTAGCATATTAACGATTACAAATACATCCGCAACATTCCGCACCTAACTTTTAACGATTTAAAATCTTAAAACTCTGATAAATAAAAAAAAAAATCCTTATTTGGAATCGTGTGGGATCACAACTAAAACTTTAGGTAAACAAATTTGAGACACACAAAACAGGTACAAAAAAAAAAGTTTCACATATCAAGTTAGATTTTATTAATTTTATATCAAGTTAGTATAAATTAATTTCATAAAGTAAAATAAATACCTTGAGCTTCAAAATCCATTTTAAATAATATAAATTTATCAACTTGAACAGTTACCAGTCAAATTTAAAGTGCGCTTTTGCTTCGAAATATTTCACCACAGCTCCGATGCGCTGTTGAAATGAACACGTTTTCATGCTTTTGATTCTATTTTTAGAATGTACCGTTGGGTTTCCGGCGAAAACCGGTTTGCAAATTGGTAGATTGGACATTTTAGAGACAAACTGTGTAAATTTAATTGAAATATTTTCAAATCGTTTTTTTGATTTTTGGCCTCTGACGGAACCACTGTGCAATGCTTATTACTTTTTGTTTTAAGCCTTGTGATTGTGGATTATCGAAAAAATAAAATGGTCATTTAAAAATATACAATCTATACTCAAGCCTGCTCCGGTAATCGAAAACGAAAACGGAATGAAAAGTAAATGGGTCCATCAACGTTTATGCGTTGACAACGCAAGAGCCTTAGGAACCTCGTCGTCCCAATCCAGAGCCGTCCTAGCGCCGTTGTCCTGCGTTTTCTTAGCCATGGTTACCTCCTTCAATATTAACTTTCCCGAGATGATGACTGGCGCGATGAGACCTAGCGGGTCGAACAGCCTCGCTATGCTCGACAGGATCGTCCTCTTAGTGAAAGTAGGTGGTATCTCAAAATTGACCTGAAATTTGAAGCAGTCCTTATTGGGGAGCCAATACATTCCTAATGCCTTGATCGGATCCGCAGCGTCCCAGTTCAGAGGTGTCCGACTGCATTGATGCTCTGGCGGAATCGATTGCAAAAGGCTCTCTTCGTTGCTGGACCATTTCCGCAACTCCATGCAAGCGGATTTTATAGCACCCGATACCTGGGCCCGTTTATCCTCCGCATCTTCTATCGTATGCCCACCGGAAAGAATGTCGTCCACGTAGATCTCGTCCCTTAATACTTCTTCCGCCTTAGGAAACGAACACCGCTCATCCTTCGCTAATTGTTGAATGACTCTGATCGCCATGAAGGGTGCCGAAGCCGTTCCGAAGGTTAGCGTTGTCAACGCATAAACGTTGATGGACCCATCCGCCGCCCGCCATAAAATCCGCTGATATTGGGCGTCTTCCGGGTGAACATCGATACACCGATACATTTTCTGTATATCCGCCGTGAAAACAAAACGATATTTCCGCCAGTTGAGAATGACTGCAGACATGTCGTTTTGAAGAGTAGGCCCAGTCCACAAAATGTCATTTAAAGATCTTCCATTGCTAGTCCTTGAGGAGGCATCGAAGACGATTCGCTGTTTGGTTGACTGAATTTCCTTCTTAAAGACAGCGTGATGCGGAAGTACACAAGAGGCTACATGCCTGTTCGCGGCCGTACTCCTTACTGTGCTGCTTTCACTGCCCATTGCCGGCGCTATTTGCTCGAGCGCGAAGTATTCCTCAATCTCATCCACATATTTGCTCCAACGGTCTGGATTGTTGGACAGACGCCTTTCCATCTGGAGAAACCGATTAAGCGCCATCTGATGAGACTTTCCCAAGACCATGGTCGGATCGAGATAGGTTTTAAAAGGCAACCTGACCACATAGCGGCCATCCGGTCGACGCACGTGGGTCTCCTGAAAAAACGACTCGCACCAGAGGTCCCCCTCTGTCGCTATAGGGCGATCAGGAACTGACTCGACTTCACAGAAACGCTTCAGCAATGCCTCCGTGTCCAGCAGCACTCGATGACAGCGCAATTGTGTTGCTTCTCTTACTCCTTCGGCACGTCCCGATAGAATCCATCCGAAGCGTGTATTCTGCGCTATAGGCTCGCCGGGCAATCCAATCCTGGTGTCTGGCAGCATGATTTGCGCCAACATGTCCGCTCCTAAGATGAGATCGACTCTCTTCGACCGGGCGTAGCTCGGATCCGCCAGAGGGAGCCCTCGAATATGATTCCAACGCTGCGGCGTGAAGCTAAGGCTAGGCAGACAGGAAGTAACTGAATTGAGAACATATGCTGAATCAACCTCTAGAGAAAAATTTGGATTAATAATACTATTAACTTCGAAATTAACTGTATACTTGCAACGACGACCGCCCCCTGGGCCCACCCCAAAAATCGATGCTCGGGTATTGCACCGTCTCAGATGCAGGGACTGTACGACGTGCTCCGAAACTATGGTTGCCTCAGATCCTTGATCGATGAGAGCATTTATGACCGCTCGTAGCCCGTTGACCGGGTTTCGTACGGCAATACGAGCAGTGGCGAGGAGCACATTTCGGGAGGACCCATTCGCCGAAGTTGCTGAATAGCATCTGTAAGATGCGTCCGGATTCTGGCCCGACGTTGACTGTAGGCCCTGCTGAGGTACGGTCTCCCCAGCTGCATCAGGATGCGTCGCGGCAGACCGAACTGGATGCAGCGGTGTATGGCTTGACGATCGGTCCTGAGCCAATGCTGGGAAATGCAACAGCGTATGATGGCGCTGGCCACAAATTTGGCAGCTCTTATTGCTGGTACAGCGGGAAAGCGCATGTGCTTTACTCAGACAATTAATACATAATTTCGCCCTGGTGACTATGTCCTTCCTCTTATAGCAGTCCAAGGCCAGAAAGGCGGCACAACGACGCAGGATATGGTCACCGCTACAGTGATAACAGGAGCTATTCGGGCGCCTTGAGTGCTCCTGTGCATTATGCACTCGCACTCTCTTGCCTGGGTCGGCAGATCCTGGGCCATTATTGGAGTCGTACGACGAGCTTCGGTTCTCGATCGCATCCATTATGACCAGCCGATCATTCAAAAACGATTCTAAATCCTTATAAGTGGGAACGGTGGCACCGCTCCCTTGGTGGTGCTCCCAAGCGTTGTGGGTCTCCTTGGGCAACTTCGCTGCTATGTAATGCGCCAACCAGTGCTGCCGTTCCCCGTCCAAGGCTTGGACGCGGCGGAATGCAGCCAGGCAAACATTGACCGTGCTCAGCATCGACCGTATGGAATCCGTATTATCCTTTTGCAGCCTGGGCAACGCGTATATCGCGTTCATGTGGTGGGAAAACACTAGACGAGGATTGTTGTACCTTTTAATCATCATTCCCCATGCCACGGCGTAGTTCGTCTCCGTGAGCTGCATTTGACGGATGTCATTATCGCGCCCTACCGGCAACGATTCCTTCAGAAAATGTAACCGCTGTACGTTACTCAAATTATTGTTGTTATGTATGAGGCTCGTGAAAGCGTCATAGTAGCCTGGCCAGTCCACACACGCACCGGAAAACTTGGGAACTGACATCTGTGGCATGTTCAGTCGCACCTCCGGATCAGCGGCTCCACTTGGCAGTGGCTGCAGCTTAGGAGTCTCGGCTTCAAGTCTATCCAAATCCTCTGCGATGGCACAATAGGCGTCCATATAACGCTCCTCGAACTCCGACTGGAAATTTTTCACGGCATAGCTCGATTCCGCAAACCCTTCTAGATTCACGATCACGGCATCAGTCTCCTGGAACGCGCTCCTTAGCTCTTCCACTTGTTGCAACCGCTTCTTTAAATAAATTCTCGTTTTCCTCGATTGTGAATCCTTTTTAAAATTCAGCAGCGTCGATTTAAGGGATTGGGCCCGATTTGCCTGTAAGTTAACTAATTGCTCGAAAGTTGGAGGATCCGAAACAGTTTCCATGCTGACGAGTGTAAAACCAAAACTTAGCGCAACTCACCACCCCAAATAAACATGTAAAGAAGATATTGGTAAATTCTTGTCTCGCACACAATTTGTCACTTACTCCGTTTTGCACACAAGATTTCACCCCGAAGCCACTCAAAGAAACCAAAAGAAGAGAGCGCCTCCGTTCCTTGACCTGCCGTTGATGCGCTTATGTATCGCCGTCTTCTTTTCAGGCAGTTCGCCGAGCCGACTTGCAAACTTAACGCGGCCGCGCGATCTAACGGAATCTATTTACACCCAGTATAATCGACTTTAAATTTTCACAATTGCAAGGTTCCCCTCATGGGCCACCATGTATAGTTGTGTCCCCTTGTATGTCTGCAACTAACAAGAGGTCATTGTAGGAGGGGTTCCCAGGCAAGAGTGGGATAATTTCCAACGTTATAATTATTATTATTCACTGATTTACTTTAGACTAGATATATATATGTATGTACAGATGGGTGTGTATTCGCAATAGATAAGGCGTTAGACCGGCGGCGTGCGTTCAGCGGCGTTTGCAAGATCAGACTAACTTTTCACCTCTCTTCCATTCTCTTCTTCCCGCATCGTATGCACTGTCCAGCGACGAGTGAGCGATCGGCTGATCGCCACTCTCCCGCACAGTGGGACACGCAGCAAAACTGAACATGAAATCAGATCTTATTTAAAAAAGGAAAAAATAGTTTCCTCAGTGTTCTATTGATGTTTATTCCACACCACCACAAGATCATTCTGGCAGGTAGTTATTGCATTCACTAAAGGGTACATTCCCCGAGGTACTCAGGTGACGTTTTTATTTTTAACATTTTTTCCCGATTTTTTATCACAACCCGGATTATTGGCGCTGGCAAAATTTGACCTTGAAAAAATAAGAAGTCGTGTTAGCATATTAACGATTACAAATACATCCGCAACATTCCGCACCTAACTTTTAACGATTTAAAATCTTAAAACTCTGATAAATAAAAAAAAAAAAAATCCTTATTTGGAATCGTGTGGGATCACAACTAAAACTTTAGGTAAACAAATTTGAGACACACAAAACAGGTACAAAAAAAAAAGTTTCACATATCAAGTTAGATTTTATTAATTTTATATCAAGTTAGTATAAATTAATTTCATAAAGTAAAATAAATACCTTGAGCTTCAAAATCCATTTTAAATAATATAAATTTATCAACTTGAACAGTTACCAGTCAAATTTAAAGTGCGCTTTTGCTTCGAAATATTTCACCACAGCTCCGATGCGCTGTTGAAATGAACACGTTTTCATGCTTTTGATTCTATTTTTAGAATGTACCGTTGGGTTTCCGGCGAAAACCGGTTTGCAAATTGGTAGATTGGACATTTTAGAGACAAACTGTGTAAATTTAATTGAAATATTTTCAAATCGTTTTTTTGATTTTTGGCCTCTGACGGAACCACTGTGCAATGCTTATTACTTTTTGTTTTAAGCCTTGTGATTGTGGATTATCGAAAAAATAAAATGGTCATTTAAAAATATACAATCTATACTCAAGCCTGCTCCGGTAATCGAAAACGAAAACGGAATGAAAAGTAAATGGCTTTTTTTATATGAAATCAGATCTTATTTAAAAAAGGAAAAAATAGTTTCCTCAGTGTTCTATTGATGTTTATTCCACACCACCACAAGATCATTCTGGCAGGTAGTTATTTTATAAAAAAACAAAAAGGAAGCTAACTTTGGCACGCCTAAGTTTGTATACCCTTGCAGATTGGTTTTGATGTTTATATTATAGATTTAAATGCTGAAAACACTCACAATACAGAGTTTCATTACATTTTACCTATACTTATTATACTTATTCCCAGCTTTACATATTCTATATATTTACCGATCGCTTCTATGGCAACTATATGATATAGTTGTCCGATTTTTATGAAATTTATAGCAAAATTCTAGAATAATAAAAAAAGCTTATATCTTAGAGTAAATAAAAATACTTTGAAAAACAACGAAGCTATAATTTTTTTCCTATTCATTTCCCGATCGTTTCTATGGCAGCTATATCATATAGTCGTCCGATTTTCATAAAATTTTTACCAAAATTCAGAAAAAATATAAAATGGCCATATCTGAAAAAAATGTGGGTGGTGCTAAAATGTTGAAAAACAGCAAAGTTATAATTTTTTTTTCTACAAATTTATTGAACATTTGTATGGCAGCTATATGATATAGTCGTCCGATCCGGCCCGTTCCGACATAAATAGCAGTGAGAGTATATAGAAGACTATATGCAAAGTTTCATTCAGATAGCTTTAAAACTGAGGGACTAGTTTGCGTAGAAACAGACAGACGGACAGATGGACAGACGGACATGGCTAGATTGACTCGGCTGTTGATGCTGATCAAGAATATATATACTTTATAGGGTCGGAAAGGTCTCCTTCACTGCGTTGCAAACTTCTGACTAAAATTATAATACCCTGCAAGGGTATACAAAAATGTCTGACTCCAGTCACTATAGAACACATCCTAAACCTTTGCCCTACAATAGCCCAAATGAAACAAAATATCCTTAAAAACACAAACGCCACACACTATTTAAGTAACCCCTCCACAGAAAACATCAAAATAATAACCAAATTTCTGAAAGAAACAACATTATATCACAATATTTAACATACACAAATTGTAAATATTGTAAATAATACACCATAGCCCCGTATATAGTCGATGGCCCTGGCAGCTCGCACTATATATTTACATGTTAGTCTTAGTTTTATAAACTATTCTAACATTCAATAAAATAAAAAAAAAATAAAAAAATCTACGATTGTTATTATTTAAAAACGAAAAATAAAAACTACAAAACCACAAAAATAAACTTATAAAATTTGAATGGCGTGCCATACGTTGAAGGCGAAAACTTACGCACTGTATTTAATCAACTATGCTTCTCATTTTACATTACTAACCCCGCCTCGGGGTCGGAACATTTTCCGGGCCCGTAAGTCGCAGAAAAGTAATGTGGACCCGATCATCATCATAAAATGGAAAACGCGAGTGAGACAGTCATGTTGTTTTGAAATTGCTAATAATAATAGTGAATCTCTTTCTGCTCTTCCACTCCCCTCTTCGCCCGCTCTTCAGCCGAAAGAGTGCCCTGATGACCAGCCTGCTACTTCGAAGAGCTTTCGGTCCTTAATTTAGTTGTTTATGTTATGTCAGCTTAGTTTCTAGGATTTATTTAGAAATAGGTTCGTCTTCATTATTTATGTCTTTATTGTTTATATATATATATATATATATATATATATATATATAAATATGGCTTGATTGACATTTCTTTGTCCTAAGTTAACCATGTATTAAATTCTTTAAATCGCTTACTAGATCTGTGTTTCGTCTCTGATCCTGTAGGTGTAAACTTAACAAGCGTTAGCCATTGACGCTTCCTGAAGACCCTTACCATCCTACTCTCGAAGTGACCATCGATTTGGGGACTGTCGTAAAGACCAAACCTGATCTGAGTCGCTCAGCCACTAAAGTTCCCTGCTTTCGTAAAGCAAATTTTAAAAGGCTTGATTTCTTAATTTCTGAATTTAATTGGTTTGAACTTTACAGGTGCACTGACATGGCGTCCGCCGTGGATATTTTGTACAGAGCCATGAATGCCTTCTTTGCATCGTGTGTTCCATTAATCTATCCGTCGGTGTCTAGTAAACCATTTTGGTTCACTAAAGAGCTGACACGCCTAAAAAACGTTAAGTCTAGGCTTTATAGTCGTTAACGTACCGGATCTCCTACTGTTCATTCAAGTTACCTTATTGCTCGGTCAAATTTCACCGTGCTAAACGCGCAGTGTTATAAAAGTTATTTAACTCGCTGTATGGTTCAGTTCACGCAGGACCCGAAACAGTTTTGTAACTTTCTCGCTTTCTTTTAATAACACTACAGTAAACTCCGACCAGGCCATCGCCGATCTCTTTGCCGACTTTTTCAAAACTACTTATTCTTCTTCTTCTTGCTTAGATCAGAGTTACTCTTTTGATTTGCCCAGGTCGAACCTAATTTTCAGTCCTATTTTAAACGAAAGCTCCCTTAGTTCGGAACTTCATCGTGTAAAACAAGTTTATTTACCGGGTCCCGATGGAATACCAGGCTGCGTGCTCAGGTATTGCGCTGGAGCTCTGTGCAATCCCCTTCTGAAATTGTTGACCTTATCTTTAGAAATCTCAGAATTTCTCCTTATTTGGAAGGAATCTTTTATCATTCCTCTCCACAAGAATGGTAGCAAATCGGACGCCAGCAACTATAGAGGAATCTCTAAGTTGTCGGCAATTCCAAAACTTTTCGAGAATGTAATTACTCCCCACTTGCAGCATTTATGCAGATCCGTAATTTCACCATGTCAGCATGGTTTTATGAGGCGAAGATCGACCACTACAATCTCCTGGAACTCACCTCTTTCGTTATTATAGGTTTCCAACGTAACTTTCAAACCGACGTAATTTACACAGACTTCAGTAAAGCTTTTGACTCGGTTAATCACTCTCTTCTTGTAAGGAAGCTTGACTTAATCGGATTTCCTGTCGATCTTCTTAAATGGATTTTGAGTTATTTGAGCGACAGAACTCAAAAGGTTTTGTTTAAAAATTTTCTGTCTAAATTCCTCAGTGTCACTTCTGGCGTCCCACAAGGTAGCCACCTCGGCTCGCTGCTATTTACATTGTTTATCAATGACCTCCCGCTAGTTCTAACGAACTCTAGAGTACTTTTGTACGCTGATGACGTTAAACTATGCTTTCAGTATAAGGACAGCTCTTGCCAGTCAGACCTGCAATCGGATCTTAATAACTTTTAGGCATGGTACCTTGCTAATTTAATACATTTCCATAGCTCCAAATGCAAGCTGATGACATTTTCACGTGTCACTCCCCAGTTTGCCACTTATACGCTTAATGATTGCGCTCTGGAAAGAAAAACTCTTGTTGACGATTTGGGTGTT